CCTTCGTCCCCGCAGTGAGGACCTTCCATTCTTCGATCAACATGGAAAGCACCACCGGCCGCAGTCAAATGCTAGGTATTCACGTCCTCCACTGCCCGGTAGGCTTCTGCTGCGCCATTTTTCTTCTAGTAATCTATTATCCGCCGCCGCATCTATCCCATCGTAAAACGAGATGAATTTGTGCTCAGGACGTGGTAGGCATTGTGTCAAAGGTCTCCGAATGCTTCGCCTTTCGCAGCGCCAACATTCACAGTGTCGATGTTTTTGTCCCAGAGAACAAACAGGTCTTCTACTCAAGGAGGTTATTGCTTTCTTGCTTCTTTCACTGACACTTGTTTTGTAGATTTAGAAGATGTGTGAGTTGTGGTCAAGGCCTTGAGTATTTACAAATCTCACAACTCTCTATATCACGGCGGTCATTAACACCTAAGTATTTACTTAATTACGTTTGGAAGTTGTTGCCAAGGTCTTGAGTAAAAAAAAAAAAAGCTTGAAGGTCAATGGTATTGTTAGTTAGTACTCTCACTTAGTCAACCATTTCCCAATTCTCAAACAATCACACTGGATTAAGACACGTTATTTTTGGTATATGGGGAATGCCGCAACACAAGCAAAAATTTGATTTTGTTCATGTAGTTATATTCTTGTCTATCCCCCCAATCTTCATCTTATCTTTAGCATGACAACAATGATTTTTGACATTTAACAAAGACAAAATGAAGTGGTGCATCTTTGATGGCGGTGAGATCAAGATTGTTTAGGATATCATGCTACTGTAAGTGTAAGCGATGCAATTCCATTTAACATGATTGTGGTAGAAAATGGGCACCAGCGTACTAAATTCCTCCAAGAAAACTTAGAGTTTCTATATGGAGTTTTGGGCTTTTAAATGGGATGGTTATAGATGCAATAATCGAAGAACATATGCTGCATGTTTGATAAAAGCTATTTGAAAGGGAAAAATCTAAATAGATCTACAAAGATTCTAAATTCTAAGATATTTTATGTTTTGCAAGTTAATTATAGGAACTTAATGGGGATAGTTAGTAGATAGAGATTTGAAAAATGGAACAGTTGGTTAATGAGCTTTTTTGTAAAAAAAAATTATATCAAAGTAAATAGTGCTAGTTGTTATAATTAGATTTAGTGTTTATGTTTTCCAAATTCTATTTGAAGAAAATTTTAGAATTCCTTTTTGAGAAGTAATCTATTGAGCACTGCTTTACATGCCTTCAAAAGAGGACAATTAGTGGTTGTGACTGAATGAATATGTTTTTATTGGGATTGTTATAAGAAATATTAATTTTGTGTGGGAAATAAGAGATACAATGTGCTGTGAGAGCTATAATTCATTTTTATATATACCAGAGTTGTTAATTGTGTTCAAACAGAAGAAGGATTGACCAATTATTTTTCTATTTCAGTTGGATTACATCATGGATCGGCTTTAAGCACACATATCCTTTTGCTTTAGTTCTTTGTTTCTGGATGCTCATGTTGGACATTTGCAGGAGGATGTATCTTGGTGTATGTTTTTCGCTGATGATATCCTTCTTGTGGATAAGGCTAGAGAAAGAACCCAGGAAAAACTTGAATTATGGAGGTTTACATTGGAATCTAAAGGTCTTCGTGTGAGTAGAAATAAAGCTGAATACATGGTATGTAATTTTAGTAGTAGTAGCTCTAGTGACAGAGTTGTAACTATGGGTGATCAAATTATTAAAAGTTGTGGATGCTTTAGATATCTCGGGTCTATTGGTCAAAATCATTGTGATATAGATTGGGATGCTATTAGTAAAATTCAAGTTGATTGGTTGAAGTGGAGGAATGCTTCAGGCCTATTGTGTGATAGAAAGTATTGCTTCGACTGAAAGGAAAATTTTATAGGATGGTGTTGAAACCTAAAATGCTCTATGGCGCAGAATGTTGGCCTTTAAAAGAGAAACATAAAATTAATTGAAGTGTTACCGAGATGAGAATGCTTAGGTGGATGAGCGGCTTTACACTTAGAGACAAAATGTGAAATGAATATAGGCTTTACATTTGGAGACAAAATGTGAAATGAATATATCTGTGATTGAGCTAGTATTGCTCAGATTAGGAGTCTAGATGTTTTAGATTCGACTTATGTTAAGAAAGACAGCTAGTATTGCTCAGATTAGGAGTGTAGATGTTTTAGATTCGACTTATGTTAAGAAGGACAAAGATAGTCCTAGAAAGACTTGGGCTTATTGTATTAAAAACGATCTTAATTCCTAGAAAGACTTGGGCATATTGTATTAAAAACGATCTTAATTTATTAGAATAAATGATAATATGACACTCAATAGGACACAATGGAGAAAAAAGATTCATGTAGCCGACCCAACTTAGTGGGATAAATGCTTGTTATTGTAGAGTTGGTGTAGCTCTAGTGGCAGGCAAAATTAGATAGAGTCGCCTTAGATGGTTTGGTCACATTAAAGGTCGACCATCTGATGGTCCGGTTAGGTGATTAGATGTTTTAGATTCAACTTATATTAAGAAAGGCAGAAGTAGACCTAGAAAGACTTGGACGTATTGTAGACTTGGACATATTGTATGAGAAATGATCTTAATTTATTAGAATTAAATGAAAATAATACACTTAATAGGATGCAATGGAGAAACATGATTCATGTAACAAACCCCACTTAGTGGGATAAAGGCTTTTGTTGTTATATATTATCTTGGTGGTGAATATATAATTTAGTGGCTGGCGTACATTTGATTGGGATTTCTCATATGGTTTATGTTGGCCCTAATAAAACCTTTTGGTGCTGATGATAACTGTGATGCAATGCCCACACTAATTTCTTTCATATCCTAATTTGGGTATGCATCTCAAGTGTACAAAGTCTGGTTGGTGACATCACGTGGATGAGGTATAATAATATGCATGTGCTTCTTACAAAATCATTTCTGTAGGTGGTGTTATATGCTACTGCTATATGCGGTGTAGAGGAGATCATTTGATTCAATTTGTAATATGGTATTGCCACATTCGATTTGGTGATTCTACCACATGTTGGTTGGTCTGTATGACCACTGATTGATATTTCTATATAAATTTGTTTTGGATATTTCACCTGAAAACTGGAGACTGAACTTTAGATTATCATAATAGAATTGGGTTGCTTTTGTGCTATATTTACTAAACTAGAATGAGGAGTCTACATGCAGTTTTTGTCGACAATTATTTGAGGCATATAGTTTTTTGTCAATAATATTTACTAACCTTACATGTTTGATTGAACAATTTCTTTTCAAGTATTCAATTTTATTGGTGCAATATGGATCAATGCTTTCATAGCACTAAGTGCAATCTGATGTACAAGAAATTTTTTTCTTGCTTTAATATACAAAGCGCAAAGTGACAATCCTTTTTCTAATTAGAGCATTTATGAGTTACAGATTATATACACATATCATGTTTATACAATATTTATTTAATTAATCAAACTTAAATCACATTAGAAAATAATTTCTTAGCAAATATAATGATACATTCAATGATATAGTAATTTATAATTATTTAAAATAAAAGAAGAATTAAAGTTATAAATGATATAAATGATACAGTAATAAAATATACTTATCAGATTGAGTGACTAGCAAAAGATTAGCGTGGAGTGAGAGGTAGTGTAAAAATAAGACGTCGAGAAGAAGCTTGTGAATGAGAATTTACTAGCGCCGTCAACAAGAACATGTAAAAAGCATATTAGAACTAGCTGGTGAGTGTGAGTAAAATCACCAAGAAGCAACTACCTCAAGTGTAAGATGATGAAAAATCAATGAGCAATGAATAAATGTCACTGAGAAATAGTATAAAAAACAATTGTGCCTACTTATTGTACCAAATATTAAACCAAAATATGAAATTTTAACAAGGATTTCATTACAAGTAGGAGCTGAGCACATATTGCTTTAATGCCTCGAGATGAAGTGTTGCAAAATGTGAGCTTTACTTCAAACATGCACTTTACAAGGCAGTGATGTGCAAGACTATCGCATCACTTCACTTTTCTTCTAAAACACATTTTCAACAACACTGATTTAAATATGTGATTCTTTTGAGTGTGATACAAAAGTGATTGTATAGTTGGTGAATTCATTTACTTTACTGACATGAATTTTTGGTAAATTATTTTCTTAGTCTATGTTATTTTAGACAGCTTCTTATTAACTTGCCAGCGTTCTTGATTTTATTCAACTTTGACATACCTAAATCTAATTATGCTGATGGGTTTATAATTGCTTGTTAATTTTGTGTAGTTTGAATTTCCTGCCAATTTTTTGGATTTACTAGACCATTTCCAAACAACCACACTTCAAACTTTGCGCAAAACTCCACAACTCCAGAAATTTATTCAGGGCAAGGGAGTGAAGTCATGTTCCTCATTTCATTCATTTTGTGTATCTTAAATCTCTTTGAACGAAGAAAATATTACGTAAATTGAACAACAACATGAATCTTATCATACCGTGCGTTTAACAGGATGATATAATTTACACCATCATCTGCATGTCCGTTGTCGGGGCATTTGTAGAATATAAAGACATTATAAACACCTAATAAGAATATAATAAACGCTAATCACAAAAATAACCAGTAAGGATGATATCAGATGTCATCCAGAAATAAGTGCAGATTACGAAGAGCATTGAAGGATTTTCATAATAATCCAACTAAAAAAATAAAATTACAACTGTGCATTACTAGCAGCGATTTCCATTCTTGCTTCAAAGCAGGTGCGACCGTGGTTCGTATACTATCTTTAATTTTCCTTTAGCTCTTCTCATACCAAGCTGCTTTGCGTACATTTGATCCAAAATGCATTAGTTTATATGGAAATTTACATACCTGGCATACAATTCTTATGCATCTACATATCTCATACCTAAACTTTTATATTTACATGCATAACACTATTTGGCTTTAAAACGATGCATGAAAGGTGTATTTCACTTTTGAAAGTGGTAGTAGTGCTATTTTTTGTGTATTAAAGTTTTAAGTTATGTGTGTAAATATGAAAGTTTGGTTATGAGATATGTAAATATGTAAGAATTGTAAGCATTATTAGTTTTTATGTTTATTTATTTAATTAATTGTTATGCAGGACCATTGTCTGGTGGATGTTTTGCATGGTTGGCAGGATGGTAGGCTTCCTGTAGATATAAACTGTGTAATAAGGTGGTGCTATATTTTAACTTATTCCACCGTAAATATTTGCGGGATTTACAAAGGTACCACCCAATTCCTATGTATTTGCATATCTGACACCAAAACTTTAATTTTTAACATTTATACCACCTAACTATTTCATATTACATAAAAAAATATCACTATTTTAACTTATAAAAAGTGAAATATATATTTTCATGCATAGATAAGTTTATATATATATAGATAGATAGATAGATAGATAGATAAATTGATGTTTGGGTGTTAGATATGCGCATACTTGGGAATTGAGTAGTATGTATGTAAATGCCCATAAATATTTTTGCTGCTGATTTAAATATCTGTTTTCAACAGCAATCATGATAGAGGTCCAAATACCCATGTTCTACGTTTTCTTGAGAGAAATGGAATTCCATACCATTTCATGCCAACCAGTTCAGTAGATAAAAGAGAAGAAGAAATCTTGAATCTTGTTAAAGATACTGATTTTCTTGTCCTCGCTCGATATATGCAGGTGCGTAGCTCTGAGGTTAGGTTCCGTTTGGCGGAGCTTCCGTTTTTATAAAATTTTATTTAGAAGTTGTTTTTCAGAAGGCTAATTGGAAATAGTAGTAGCTTCTGAAAGCAAATGTAGGTTTCTGAAAGTGTTCTATAAAAGAATTGCAGCCAAACAAACTCCAAAGCGGTCTAAAAACTCTTCCAAATGGAAACTAAACGTCTAGCTTCCCCAATAGCTCATATTATATAATCTGTGTCATCTTGCCAAATTTGTTATGATTATTCTTTTAATAACCTTTTATTGCTTCAATGAGAAGTTAAGCACTTGTAAGGAGATTTACTGAACATCAATGGACATGCCTTGTTATTTGCTGCTATTTATTAGTTGATCTAAATATTTTTTATCTTTGCAAGTTACTTCTTTTTTTTTTTTTTTTTTTTTTTTTTTTAGGGATCTGAACTTAAGACCTTCCTTGTTCATGTTGGGTGTATCAATGAGCCAGTAGCTCTTTATTTAAATATAGACGAATTTTGGTTCTGGATAGCTTAGATTTTAATCAGGGTGGATCTCAAAGCAATTGATTTTGCTTTGAGATGAGAGTGCCATAGATGGAAAATCAATCAAAATTTGTGTTGCACTTCTCAAAACAAATCAGCCTGTTAGCTTCAAGAACCATCTGATAAAAAAATGTATCAAGATGCTAGTTTTTTTTTTTTTTCATTTAAATACCTTGTCAAATATAACCCTGCTTACAATTTTTGTTAGCTGACTAGATTTAGACTCTGCGGTACAGCGGAGTCAAAACTTTTAGAAATCCTCGCAGCTTAAAACTTGAATATATATGATTCATATGTCTTTTTAGAATTAGCGTAAAATCAAGGCGTTTTTCTAAAATTTTGGAATCGAAGTATATTATTTTGATTGTTTTGTACAGATGTGCATGCTTTTGAATTTCCCTTTGATCAAGTAGAAATATTGAACAGGTATTGTCAGCTAGTTTTTTGGAGGGCTATGGTAAAGATATAATTAACATCCATCATGGGCTTCTTCCGTCATTCAAGGGCAGCCATCCTGCCAAGCAGGTGCTCATTTTATTTTCTACTCTTGATGGCCGCGCCATATTTTATTTGCTGCTTCTGAGATTTATTTGATCACCAGGCTTATAATGCTGGAGTGAAACTGATTGGTGCAACAACTCACTTTGTAACTCCAGAACTCGATGCAGGTCCTATTATCGAGCAGATGGTACACTCTCTGTAATTTAGTTAATCGAAGATTTACATTCACACCCCTCAATTCCTATGCATTTACATATCTAGCACCTATACTAACTTTACATACATGCTGTGGTATTTTTGATTTGATATGGGCGATAAAAATGTAAAAAAGCGAAGTTTAAGATTTAGATATGTAAATAGGAAAGAATTGTGTGGTATTGCATGTATGTGTTTGGTTGGATGTGAAAGATTACATGCATGCTCTATTAAGTTGTGGAGTTTAATTGTTGCCATATGAAGATAATATGCTACACGGGTGATTTTTTTTTTTATGTCGGGAGAAAGATGAATTTTATGCAAATACAGGTAGCGAAAACAATATAATGATAATTTGAGCAGAATTTCAGCTAGACAACTCATAATGTCACCCAGAAATTTTCTGATTTTTTGGGCAATTTTATGTAACAGGTGGAGAGAGTTTCCCATCGAGATACCTTAGAGAGTTTTGTGCAGAAATCAGAAAATTTGGAGAAGCAATGTCTGCGGAATGCAATAAAATCCTACTGTGAACTCCGTGTGCTGCCGTATGAGGGGAAAAAAACTGTTGTTTTCTAGAGCTGGACCTTTGTTACCGTTGCCAAATGCCTACCCAGCTCATCTTTTGTTGAAACTATAGAGTGGTTAAGCAAAGTGATCATATTTTTATGGGAAATTTACTTTCATACCAGATAATTCTGAAGTATTTACATATCTAACACCCAAAGTTTGATATTTAAATTTCTTCCGCCGCGAAGCTGCAAGCCAAACGACGGGACTTTGTTGTTTGGGGCCGCAACGCGTCAAAAAAGCGGAGCCAAACGGAGCCGAAGTGTTGCAACATGTGAGCTTTACTTCAAACATGCACTTTACAAGACAGTGATGTGCAAGGCTATCGCATCACTTCACTTTTCTTCTAAAGCACATTTTCAACAACACTGATTTAAATATGTGATTCTTTTGAGTGTGATACTAAAGTGATTGTATAGTTGGTGAATTCATTTACTTTACTGACATGAATTTTTGGTAAATTATTTTCTTAGTCTATGTTATTTTAGACAGCTTCTTATTAACTTGCCAGCGTTCTTGATTTTATTCAACTTTGACATACCTAAATCTAATTATGCTGATGGGTTTATAATTGCTTGTTAATTTTGTGTAGTTTGAATTTCCTGCCAATTTTTTGGATTTACTAGACCATTATTCATCATTTGGCTTAATGCTTTTAAAGAAAATAAATTGTTGGCTTGTTTAGTGGAATGTAGGTTGTGAATTTTATTTATGCGACCTTCATACATTACAACATTCTGGTCATAGTAGAAAATCCTAACACTATACTCTTATTTGTGATTCCCACTTAATTAGTACATATGTTGCACCCTTCATCATTTTTATCAATTCCTTTTAGATGATGCCATGCTTATTTATTATAATGAAATATTGGCTTATTTTAAGGCATATTAAGAAATTTCTGATATTAAGAAATTTCTGACAGTTGCTTTTAAACCATGCTTAATTCTGAAGTAATCTTCTCCTAAAATTTTTTTTGAATGATGGAACAAATACAGTGAATTTGTATTTGATCCTGCAAGCTGGCCTCGTGATGTTATGGATGAAGACTTTGTGAATATAGGAAAACTCTTCAAGGCAGAAAGATCTGTTGTTCGGGTTCCTGATGTAGATCCAAAATTTAAGATTTCCATTCTTGCTTCAAAGCAGGTGCGACCGTGGTTCGTATACTATCTTTAATTTTCCTTTAGCTCTTCTCATACCAAGCTGCTTTGCGTACATTTGATCCAAAATGCATTAGTTTATATGGAAATTTACATACCTGGCATACAATTCTTATGCATCTACATATCTCATACCTAAACTTTTATATTTACATGCATAACACTATTTGGCTTTAAAACGATGCATGAAAGGTGTATTTCACTTTTGAAAGTGGTAGTAGTGCTATTTTTTGTGTATTAAAGTTTTAAGTTATGTGTGTAAATATGAAAGTTTGGGTATGAGATATGTAAATATGTAAGAATTGTAAGCATTATTAGTTTTTATGTTTATTTATTTAATTAATTGTTATGCAGGACCATTGTCTGGTGGATGTTTTGCATGGTTGGCAGGATGGTAGGCTTCCTGTAGATATAAACTGTGTAATAAGGTGGTGCTATATTTTAACTTATTCCACCGTAAATATTTGCGGGATTTACAAAGGTACCACCCAATTCCTATGTATTTGCATATCTGACACCAAAACTTTAATTTTTAACATTTATACCACCTAACTATTTCATATTACATAAAAAAATATCACTATTTTAACTTATAAAAAGTGAAATATATATTTTCATGCATAGATAAGTTTATATATATATAGATAGATAGATAGATAGATAGATAAATTGATGTTTGGGTGTTAGATATGCGCATACTTGGGAATTAAGTAGTATGTATGTAAATGCCCATAAATATTTTTGCTGCTGATTTAAATATCTGTTTTCAACAGCAATCATGATAGAGGTCCAAATACCCATGTTCTACGTTTTCTTGAGAGAAATGGAATTCCATACCATTTCATGCCAACCAGTTCAGTAGATAAAAGAGAAGAAGAAATCTTGAATCTTGTTAAAGATACTGATTTTCTTGTCCTCGCTCGATATATGCAGGTGCGTAGCTCTGAGGTTAGGTTCCGTTTGGCGGAGCTTCCGTTTTTATAAAATTTTATTTAGAAGTTGTTTTTCAGAAGGCTAATTGGAAATAGTAGTAGCTTCTGAAAGCAAATGTAGGTTTCTGAAAGTGTTCTATAAAAGAATTGCAGCCAAACAAACTCCAAAGCGGTCTAAAAACTCTTCCAAATGGAAACTAAACGTCTAGCTTCCCCAATAGCTCATATTATATAATCTGTGTCATCTTGCCAAATTTGTTATGATTATTCTTTTAATAACCTTTTATTGCTTCAATGAGAAGTTAAGCACTTGTAAGGAGATTTACTGAACATCAATGGACATGCCTTGTTATTTGCTGCTATTTATTAGTTGATCTAAATATTTTTTATCTTTGCAAGTTACTTCTTTTTTTTTTTTTTTTTTTTTTTTTTTTTTTTTTTTTTTTGGGTTTTAATTTGGTTCTGGATAGCTTAGATTTTAATCAGGGTGGATCTCAAAGCAATTGATTTTGCTTTGAGATGAGAGTGCCATAGATGGAAAATCAATCAAAATTTGTGTTGCACTTCTCAAAACAAATCAGCCTGTTAGCTTCAAGAACCATCTGATAAAAAAATGTATCAAGATGCTAGTTTTTTTTTTTTTTCATTTAAATACCTTGTCAAATATAACCCTGCTTACAATTTTTGTTAGCTGACTAGATTTAGACTCTGCGGTACAGCGGAGTCAAAACTTTTAGAAATCCTCGCAGCTTAAAACTTGAATATATATGATTCATATGTCTTTTTAGAATTAGCGTAAAATCAAGGCGTTTTTCTAAAATTTTGGAATCGAAGTATATTATTTTGATTGTTTTGTACAGATGTGCATGCTTTTGAATTTCCCTTTGATCAAGTAGAAATATTGAACAGGTATTGTCAGCTAGTTTTTTGGAGGGCTATGGTAAAGATATAATTAACATCCATCATGGGCTTCTTCCGTCATTCAAGGGCAGCCATCCTGCCAAGCAGGTGCTCATTTTATTTTCTACTCTTGATGGCCGCGCCATATTTTATTTGCTGCTTCTGAGATTTATTTGATCACCAGGCTTATAATGCTGGAGTGAAACTGATTGGTGCAACAACTCACTTTGTAACTCCAGAACTCGATGCAGGTCCTATTATCGAGCAGATGGTACACTCTCTGTAATTTAGTTAATCGAAGTTTTACATTCACACCCCTCAATTCCTATGCATTTACATATCTAGCTCCTATACTAACTTTACATACATTCTGTGGTATTTTTGATTTGATATGGGCGATATAAATGTAAAAAAGCGAAGTTTAAGATTTAGATATGTAAATAGGAAAGAATTGTGTGGTATTGCATGTATGTGTTTGGTTGGATGTGAAAGATTACATGCATGCTCTATTAAGTTGTGGAGTTTAATTGTTGCCATATGAAGATAATATGCTACACGGGTGATTTTTTTTTTTATGTCGGGAGAAAGATGAATTTTATGCAAATACAGGTAGCGAAAACAATATAATGATAATTTGAGCAGAATTTCAGCTAGACAACTCATAATGTCACCCAGAAATTTTCTGATTTTTTGGGCAATTTTATGTAACAGGTGGAGAAAGTTTCCCATCGAGATACCTTAGAGAGTTTTGTGCAGAAATCAGAAAATTTGGAGAAGCAATGTCTGCGGAATGCAATAAAATCCTACTGTGAACTCCGTGTGCTGCCGTATGAGGGGAAAAAAACTGTTGTTTTCTAGAGCTGGACCTTTGTTACCGTTGCCAAATGCCTACCCAGCTCATCTTTTGTTGAAACTATAGAGTGGTTAAGCAAAGTGATCATATTTTTATGGGAAATTTACTTTCATACCAGATAATTCTGAAGTATTTACATATCTAACACCCAAAGTTTGATATTTACACTTGTAACATCATTGGTGTCATAAATTTATGCATGAAAATGTGTATCAACTTTTAAGAACATAGTAATGGTGGTATTTTTGACTAGATGTTAAACATTCGAGTGGTATGCATCTAAATACGAATGTTTTTGTGTTAGATATGTAAATAGGTAAGTATTGTGTTATAATTTTATTCTTGTTTGTAAATTTTATGCTTGCTAGCAAGTATGATGAAATTGAAGGCCTTCTTGTAGTAGTAAAATGTTCATCTGGTGAGTGAATAAATAGCTGAACGCATTTGGATTTGATAAAACCAAACCATATAGCCGGATCAGCAGCGGTCTGGAAACGGTCATTAACTAACCGTCACAGCCAGCCCTTCCCGTCGCGCCTCTTCGTCCAAACCTACTCTCCAATTTGAAAAACTCTGCGACACCATTTCCACGCTATCATTCACCCAAAACCAACGCACCAAATCAAAATTAAGCAGAAAAAAATGGCTTCCAGCGCCCGCTCTCAGCTATATCAATGCTTCTCCCCTCCCACCCTCCGCTCCTACCTAGCCGAATTCATTTCCACCTTCCTCCTCGTTTTCGCCGCCGTCGGTTCCACCATTTCCGCCCGTCAGTCCTCCCCCTTTCTATTTCTCAATTCATTTATCAGACGATCACTATTGTCACAACTACTCTTAAATTACTGCAGGAATGTTGACGCCTGATGTGACATCTGATGCATCGTCACTAGTCGCCACGGCGGCCTCGCAGTCCTTCGCCATATTCGCCGCCACCTACATAGCCGGCGATATCTCCGGCGCTCACATTAACCCTGCGGTCACCTTCGCCTTTGTTCTCGGCGGCCATATCGCCATCCCCACGGCCGTCTTCTATTGGATCTCTCAATTGCTAGGCTCCACTCTCGCATGCCTTCTCCTCCGCTTCGCCTCTGCCGGTCAGGTGAGCCTCTTTATTCATCAAGTTCGAATTTTTCTACTGCTAAAACGCCATTGTTGCAGGCGGTGCCGACGACGAAGATAGCGACGGAGATGACGGGTTTCGGAGGGGCAGTTGTGGAGGGGGTGATAACCTTCATGTTGGTTTACACGGTTCATGTGGCGGCGGACCCGCGGGTGGCGGATGCCGGAAGGAAGGGTGGGGCGGTTAGTGGGGCTCTAGCGGTGGGGATGGTGGTTGGGGGTTGTGCGTTGGCCGCCGGTTCCCTCACGGGTGGGTCTATGAACCCGGCCCGATCTTTCGGACCGGCCATTGTGAGCGGGGATTTTAAGAACCATGGGGTTTATTGGGTCGGGCCGCTCATTGGGGCTGCTTTGGCTGCTCTGGTCCATCAAAATCTTGTTTTCCCATCACCTTCTCCTTCTGATGAGGAAGCCCTAGATGTTTAATAACAGTGATGTTTTGTAGCTTAATTTTTTTATTTAATTATAATTTAGTTTTTTTTACATGTTAATATTAATGTGCATGTATATTGAACGTGAAAGTCATAGATAAAAAAGCAAGTTTTACATATATACCACCCAATTCATATGTATTTATATATCTAAAATTTGAACTTCAATTTTTAGCTGTCTGCTGCCTTATGCATGAAAACGTGTATTTTGTCCTTTTAAAATTAACATAGTGATATGTCTGATGAAATATGAATGATGGATGCAAAATTTAGGTGTTAGATTTGTAAATACATAGGAATTGGGTGGTTTCAGGTTTGTATGTAAATGACCATATTATCAATTTTTATTATTTTTATTTAGATTTAAATTATGATATATTATAATGTCTTTGGATGCTGCTTGATTTTAATAATGTTTATGTTTGTTTATTGCTTAATTATTATTTTTTAATTAATAACTCTTTTTTAATATATGTATATACAAGTAATATTATAGCACAAAATACTTAAATTTATTTATCATGGTTAAAAATATAAATATATCAGATGTTGAGTTAATGAAAATAAAATGAGTTTTGAAACATTGAACCCACAAGAAAATATTGTCCCAATGCTAGCATATGGTGTACATGAAGGAAATCTAAATATTCACCATTGAATGATATGGTTGGAATTTATCATGACTTAAAATTATATTGTTTATAAAATTGATGGGTCTACAAGCGTTTTAAAAGCATTATTAGTGGACGAGTGGGTGGCAAACGATAGGGGCTGGTGGTCGGCCAAGGAAGGGTTGGGGTCGGGTCCGGCTTGCGGAGCTGGTGGCTGGACTCATTGTTTTAAGGTTTTTAAAAATAGGCAAAAATATATTTTATCTATATCGAATATTTTAAAAACAGGTATGTTTCTCCTAAAATAAAAAAAAAATAAATAGACAAACATCATTTTTCTTTTGTTTTTTTTATCTTTAAAAATAATAAATAAAAAATAAAAATTGATCCCAAACAGCCCTTAAATTTCTGAAGGAACAATCAAGTGTAATATATTTAAAGACTGAGCCAAACAGACTCAAAAACAAAGAAGGAAGATCTCATAGAGGGAATGTATTAATTAAGGATAATACAAAATAGTTGAGCCATCAAAAAGAAAACAAGTATAAAACCAAAACTCAGTAATGAAGAATCTATAAAAAAATCAATAATCAAGTGTAATATTTATAAAAAATTGGTCTAAATTGACTGGATGATAATGTCTCGTGTATGTTACATCAAAAATAGATGCCAGCATGGTTACCAAAAAACAACATGCAAAAATCCTTTGAGCCAAACTACTGCAGAAGTGCAACAAGCTGTAATACACGTGTTGTCGATCAAACAAGTTATTTTACCGGGGCAACACATATTGACCATACTTTTACTCGTTCCAAATTAACGATGGATCAACATTTTTTTAGGCCAAATTACCAATTAGAAGAGAGACAACTGAAGAATATGATGAAGGCGATGAAGCACTCTATGCAATTTATTCACAGTGAAATTAAGAATTTAACTCGACTACTGTTTGTTTGGGGTATCTTCTTGTTGCTTTAAAACGGTCTTCATAATTTGTGGGGTTTTTTTATTTTTTTAATATTATTGCTATTTTTTTTATTATAATGTCTCCTCTATTTATTATTGTGCAGGGTTTTGTAACAGTTTCTAGTTTTGCTAAAGAAGAAGACATAAAGGCAACATGTGACTAATTACTATACCAGATAAAACTTATATGGCGTTTAAAACATAATTTTAATGTTTTATGAAGAATTATTCACGTTTCATCACAATTTTTTGTTGTTTTCTTTCTTGATATTACAGTTGCTTGTGCTCATGGAAAAATTTGGCCAAACTGTTTTGGAACTTCTAGATCTGGAATTCAAACACTTCCATATTTGAAAATGGTTTTACAAGCTATCCTGAATTTCTTACTCATTTAAAATTTGGAGCATTTTAATATGTTATCATTGTTTTGTGAAGCTTTTTTCTGGTTTGAAATGCCAATGTAGTTGCTTCAATTTGAAGCTCTTTTGAATTCTGAAAATGTGCAAATAGGCATAATGCACTTCTTGTATGTCGGAGATTTGTTTAATGAATGTTGGAGATTTGCTGAATGAAATGGGTTCAATGTATACTTAAACTTGGTTCCTTGGGATTTCAAATGCTTTCTTCCTTTTAGCTTCTGAAAATGTCGATGATGAATTTAATAACAGTGAGATCTACATTTGAACATTTGGAATGATGACAGTGTTCTGCTAGCATTATTCTGATATGACATGTTCTGAGTCTTCATTATGTCTTATTTTTGTGGCATTTACATACATACCACATTCCCATGTAATTATATATGTATAGGGAGCTGTAAGGATATTTCAGAGCTTACTTTCTTTGCACTTCGTATGAATTCATTATATGGAGCTGTAAGCAGCCTTCTCGCTATAAGAAGTTTACCTTTAGGGAGTTCAGGGGACAGGTGCAGGAGGATGTCAATAGAACTGGATATAACGCTGGGCTGAAAAGATTTCTTATATGAATATATATTATTCAATTGGAAGATTGACATACATACATACCGCCAGATTCATATGTATTTACATATCTAATACTTTAGCTTTGATTTTTAAATTTATTCCATCCAATTTTTCATATCACATAAAAAATATCATTTTTTTTAACTTTTAAAAAGTGAATACGTCTTTTTATGCATAGGAAAGGAGCTATATATCATATATGCAGAAAATCAGAGTTTAGCTGTTAAATATGTAAATACAAGTGAATTGAGTGGTATGTATGCATTTGTAAGAAATTAAAATATAGGTGTTAGATATGTAAATACATATAAAGTGAGTGGAATGTATGTAAACGTTCAGTTTTTTGGGAACTTGAAATGGGAAACTTCTTATGGCGAGGACACAAGATTCTTTTCTGGTCTTGTTCAAGGATACTTTCCTGTAAGATTATTATCTCCAAGCAAACATTAAGATAATGATTAACAGACTAAGGACTCCAATGTCGTTCCCATTACTTCTTTATGTACTCCCCACATGTTCTTCCTCACTGAGGAAACCGAGATGTAACTGCGTGACCTCACTTACTTTAAACTCTATTGGGTAATCAATGAATTTTACGGCAGAGAAAATAAAATAGAGATTTTTGCCAAAAACACTAAAAAAGAGCAAAGGCTCCAAGCCCCGCGGCTATCTATCTCTAATCAAATTCAACAGCCTCACTCATTCCCCATGAAAAGATCTGCAAACAAAAGAAAACCTACTACAGAGAAAGCCCAGAAGCCCGAAGGAGCAGTTAAGTAATAAAGATCGGTCCTTTACTCTTCCTCCCATGCCACAAGAGTCAAGGAGAACAATTCAGTTCTACTGGATCACAATGCCCGCTCTCTCTCTTTCTCTCGGTCGCTCGCAGAGTTGCAAGCTTGCAGTGCCAGAGAAAGAGAAGCGGGTTCAAGCGCGAGAAAGATTTATGGCGTTTGGAGACGGAATGGTGAAGAGAGCTGTTTTTTGGTATTCAATGAATATATGTATGTGAAATGGGTAATATTAAAATTTGGAGTGTGAAATTGGTAAATATTAAAGTTTGTTGTGTTGGGGATGTAAAAACCCCACAAATAATGTTAATAGTTTTTAGTGTGAATGTGTATCCTGTTTTTGAAAAAATATTGCGTCCACACCGACGGCCAACCACCGACCGCCGCCACTCGGTCCGCCCCAAAGAGGTATATGACGGAGTGGCGTGACCAATGGCTTCACTTTCGTTTTCCTGAAGCTTGTTAGATGTGGATTGGGAGGAGGGCTGAGTGGAGGAAGAAGTGGGATGAAGGTACTGCTCACCCGTGCCGCAGAGAGTTCTTATGTTTTGGGATTTTTTTTTTTTTTTTCATTTTAATACTTCTCATTTCATCATTCCGCTCATAATTTTTTTATTGCCGTTTCTAATGATTATTGACTTATGGATGAAAGGAAAATGCCAGATTTTGAGGATTTCATGCGTCATCAATTGGCCGGGGAAATCAAAACCCTAATGAAACCCTAATTATATGAAATTGTATATAAGACCGACATCAGTTGCAGTTCTGAATGCTTAAAATTTGACATGATTAAGACGCTTCTTCAGTTTGCTTTCATCTGAATTTGAAATGATTAAGAGAATTTTAATTCATGTTTCGAAAGAAGGAGACCTGCTGAAAGTTAGAAGTTTCAACTGCTGTTACTGAGTTAAATTTTCATTTCCTATTTTTACTTCTTTCTCCACCTCTACCTCTTTGATGTAAAAAATAAATGGTTTCAAGCCATGGAAACTAAAATAAATTTCATTAACTTATGCAAGGACATATGGAGTTTGAAATGTTCTAAACTTGACCTAATTTTTATCTTTATATTATTGTAATTCTTGACCATTCTTTGGTCCAATAATTGCCCAATAGCTAGGTTTTGGATTTTGCAAAGACAAATCATTTCGTGAATTTGCATATTTTTTTCCTTTAAACTTTCATTAATGCTTCTGTTATATGAAAGAAGCTACCTTTACATGGGCTTGTCTTATAATGATGCAACTGAAAATTGATGATCAAAACCCGTGCGTATTTGATAAAATTTCTTCGAAGATTTACATACTTACAACTCAATTCTTATTTATTTACATATCTGATTCCTAAACTTTAATTTTTACATATATGTCACTTTACTTATTGTATTTCATGTTTTAGAAGTTAAAATAGTGTTATTTTCTTATGTGGTATGAAGGATTTTGGTGGTATACATGTGAAAAAGCAAATGTAAATGCCCCAAATTTCTTTTGTTGTTTCTATAACAAGCTGTAGCAAGGATGGTTTTGAATTTGATTCCTCTTGTGATATAAATACTATTATTACTACTTTTCATGGGCTTATTGTTGCAAATAATACTAACACCAATGCACTGATTCTGAAAGAGTTTGCCCCATCAATCCTTGTGAAGAACATTCAACAGCCTTACTAGGCTTGATCGTAATACAGCTTTTGGTTAAATAGCGATTGAATGCACATGGTGTATTGTGAAAAGTGTCGTTATATAAACGAATCATGATCCAAGATGGAGAAAAGCAAGCTAGAAAGCTTGTTGCTGATGATCAATGGTATTAATCTATGTTCTTTGATTGCATTATCTTATTTGACATGTGCATAATAGTTAGTTTTGTCAACAAGTAAGAAAATTTTTTTTTTTTAATCTAATGATGCATTCACATTTGTGCTCTAAATTTTATCATTTATTTTGTATGCATGATTTTTTGATTTTTGTAATGGAACAATATAAAGCATCCATTGCTCAATGAAAGATTGCCTAGATTGGTAAGCATATAATATTTCTCTAAATTTAGTTTTTATCATATATTCATATTCATATTGTCACTGGTGCTAAATCATATAAAATGGCTTGGTAAGAAGGTTACATGGTTAGATAAGATTCACCTATATTTACAATTGCACAGAGACATAAATGTCCACTAAATGAAGGGAAATATAGGATATATACATTTGCCCTTAAAGATTTTGTTTGAATTTTATGTCATTAGTGTTCTTCCCTCTCTATTGTTCTCTCTGCCAATTTGACCATGATTCCTCCCCCAAATAAGCTCACTGGATATCAAGTAAAGTTTTTCATCTCCTATGTTGAACCAACTCACCGGTCAGAACCTTATGCCACAATCATTGATTCTCTTTTGAGAAAGCCTTTACATTCAATTGTCTTCTCCAACCCTTCAATGTTTGTTGTTGACCATCCAATACAAAATTCTTTTTTACGTGATCCAGCAAGCTAACTATCAATCGCTATTCACTGCACTTGTTACTTCTCTAGCCTCCACATCCGCATGTAGTTAATTGGAGAATAGTAATTCCCTACGACACCATGCGCTCATCTACATATATAAAATTAATAATGACAGCTAACAAATATATAGAAATTAAATTGATGATATCATGTTAGTATGTAACATAATTTTGGAGGTTAGGTGGTATTTTTAGAAAAGTGTGGGAAACATATGAAATGATTTCATATTCAAAATCAAGGCTAGTAAGAAAATAATATATGCATTTAAATAATCTACCACTCGGAGCTTAAATTTTGATTGTATTGTATTTAGAGAGTCATTTATGTGGCACCCCCCTCTAAATCATTTGTGGGAATTGATTGAGGTTTTATATAGTCTCATTTCATTAATGATGAAGATGCACTTCTTCCCCACTATTGTTGCCTTTTCACCTACCATTCCTTGAACTTGACATGTTTATCTTATACTATCTATCCACCCTTTGAAAGCTCCCATTTAACAAAAATGGTATCCTACATTGCACTCTAGAATCACTGGTAATAAACTTAGTTGTTGCGCTCCCATTGCAACAGTGTTTGACATAGTGCGTAGGGTATCATCCTTAATTCAACATGTTATTATCATATCATCGTTAGTTATCTTCTAATTATTAATACAGAAGGATGTGATGTAGTATGATTCACTAAGCTGCTCATAGAGATCAAGTTCCTCTTCAAGTTAGGAATGTGCCTCACATTATATATCTTTCATCTAGTCCAATCATAAGTGTTGATATGTACATCTTAAACTCTTACCAAGTTCAAAAACTTGCTATCAATATGAAGGACCTTCTAGCATTCTCTTGCAAAATAATTAGATATAATCCTTTTCTGTGGATTTTAATGAAAAGAACACCCGAGTCAACAAGATTCAAATGCTTCATAAAACTATCTGCATTAAGGACTAGTGCACAAATATCTCTTCAATTGAAGCATTCAAAGATATGACTAACCTTACCACATCATCAAAGTAAATTATTGAAACCTTTTTATCATATCCTTTATTGAGATTTGGATCTACCTCCTTTTTTCACTCCTTGCCCTTGTTTTTCTACTAGAAAGATTTTGGAGCAACATACGAACATTCATCTAATTCTCATCCCCTAACATTGATGTGGATTAAAAGTGGGCTACCCAAGATAACATAAGATCACATGAATAAAAAGATGAGGAAGTAGCTTCTGTCACATCCAACCAATATCTTACTTTATTTCAACCTGACAAGTTTTTTTTTAATATAACACGCCCCGTGCCCATAAGTGTTAAAGTGTCATTGTCATATAGGGACATTTACATGCATACTGCACAATTATTATGTATTTACAAATCTAACACCTAAATTTTAATTATTTACATTTATAAGAATAAAATCTTTCAAATCAAATAGAAAATATCACTATGATTAACTTTTAAAAAGTGAAACATACCTTTTTAAGCATAGTTAAAATGGTTGATTTAAAAACAAAAGCTCAGTTGTTAGATATGTAAATACATAAGAATTGTGGCGGCTTATGGTGATAACATTTGTATGCCCATAACATCTGTTAGTGGAATTTGTATTGTAGAATGTATTATCACATGTTGATATATTGAATTTAACAACTATGGTGGCGGCTTATGGAAGCAAGAATAGTACCAAGTAAATGGCATCAAGTATCATAAAAGTGGGACGTTTTGTGAGAACTATTACTGGAAATTTTGAAAAAGCATTGCAAAATAAAGTTTTTATGAAGTGAGAGCTTTCAAGAACAGATATATATTGTGTGATGGATAAAAAAATTAAATAAAAGAACAACATAATAAAAATTATTATATTAGTAATTTAGATTATTAATAATGGAGTCTATATTTATTAACTACCTTGGATAGGAATTAATTTTGATTTTCTAAAATTAGTGGCTAAAAATTTAAGATCTTTTCACACTTGATTTTCAAAGGGGGTGGCTGTGTAACTTAATTCACTTTTGATTTCTTAAAAGAGTGGCTATCAAACTTAAGCTTCATTAAATTTAAATTTTCTGCCTGCCACATCAAACTATTATATAAATAGGAAGTTGTTCTGTGTTAAACTATCTGACAATAAAAAACAACAAAATAAGAAGAAATAAAGAAGAGAGAGGAGAGAGGTGCTTATAGGGGGGTTCTTTAGCTTCTTCAAAATATGAAAAAGTGCTATTATTTTTTATTTTTCTCAGAGAAGAATCTATTAGTGTTGAGAAGCAAGAGTTTTTATTTTTGGCTCTTATAATAGATGGAGGAAGCGATTAATTATGGAAACATATTCAAGCCCTTCTTAACATTTAGATCTTATTATCATAGGAAGTATTGCATTTTCTTTCTACTAGCTAAATAATATTTTTGTTTGTGTATCCGACTTCGTATGATGTGTAATTCTTCTATTACTATTTTTTAAGTTTATTGGATATCTTGATCTTTATAGGAACGTGAATGTAGGCTTACTTAAAATTAAACCATATAATTATTTGACATTCTCTTCGGCAGTTCTTTTATCTCTTTTGCTGTTATTTTATAGTCTGTTTTATTTGCCCCTAGGTCGAGCGCACTCTCTTTCTTAACAGTTATAACATGAGGTTGCACAATTCTATCTATTAACCCTCCCTCAATCATGACACTATCCACCACACCACAAGTTACCTCAATTTCTCCATACTTCCCAAATTTATGCTTCTATCCCTCTATCTACGCACATTTATTCAAATACAAGATGTAATTTGCTTATATTCTCCCTCCTTTCAATCAATCAGAAACCTTTGAGCTTGCCCATCTCTATGCAGTTGATTAGATAAGGAATTCTGAAATTGGATTTGTGTCTAACCTTCATTGCCACATTTCCCATTAGACCTCATGATGTGTTTTTTCCGTTTTATGTTTGGTTTATTTGCTATGCTCAATCGGTTATATATATATATATTATTATAACATTTTGGGGCATTTACATACATACGAATCGAGTGGTCTGTATGTAAATCTTCCTTTTATTTTTCTGTCTATTTCAGAGTTAATCCAGCTGTCTAAGGGTTGGGAAAAGGAGAATAGGAAGATTGCAACCGAGGAAACAGTATAATGCAACCAAAATCTCACAGGTAACCAACTTTCTTATTTGTTGTTGACTAAGCACTCTATCTGGGGATATGGGATGGGCCACTTAATTTTATTATCATATTGCCTGTCATTGCTATGCACCGACAGCAATCCATTCAGGGAGCTCTAACATATTTGTATCAGTTTGCTTGTTGGATGGCAAACTCATCTACTACCTACTTCTATGGAAAACCATTTCTTCTCACATACTCCAACTATGTTGTTTAATATTACTTTGGATTATTTTTTTCTTTTTTGAGCTATGCATTTCTATCAAAGTAAATTCATGGGCTTGAAGTTGGGTTTAGGTCCGATTGGATAGTGAGTCAACATAAATATAGTCGATGCAAACAGAAGTCATTTAACAAACGGGCCAAAAATCTCAATTCAAACCTGAACACAACTAGACGTGAGAAACAGTCAAAAGTCGTGATAGCTTATCGTAAACTTGTTCCGAAATGGACATGATTGCTTGAATTGGATACAAGAACTCGATAAAATGACAAGAAAAAAATGTATTTTAGTATAATTTTTTCATTGCCAAGTCTCAAATAGTTAAATAATTATTTTTTTTAGTTGACGTGACTCAAGTTTTTTTTTTCTTGAATCGTTTAGGCTGACTCAAACCGCACAAAATACAACATAGGTCAGCCCAAACTGTACTTTTTTCTTGCAGAGTTCAAGTCGGACTTTCGTGCTGGATTAAGTACTAGTGCTTTTAATAATGATGCATTGACAATGTGACTTAGTGGCCAATGATCAAATCATTGAGGTGAGGTCAAATGGGATTAAATGCGATGACCTTTTCCATCAGAAACACTTGGCAACTTTCATTCAAATAAAATTTAGTTATACCCAATGAAGGAAAGTCACCTTGCAAATTTAAACTAGAGAATATGGATCAAACTATGCAAAGAAATAAATATGTATTAGACAAATGTAATGTGATCTAATAGAGAACAATGGGTCTTGGAGAGGTGCTTGAGTTTGACAATAAGCTTAATGAATCATAGTCATAGAAAAGGTTTATTTGTCAAACAAAATTTTGTTAGTTATTAAAACCATGGCAATTGATCTTGTGAAGTGTAGTATTTAGAACATAATTTTTTTTGTTTTTTTTTTTTGCCCCTTCTCTTATTTAGAGGCAATATTATTTTCAAGTTCATTGAAGCATCTAACTCGTCTTTACCAGATTTGTTTCATACTCCTAAATTGTAAAAAAGAAATACCACAATGAAACTCCAACTTAAACATGTGTCCAATAAAAGAAAGGAGCTTGTGCATGATTTGACTCTTGAGAGTGCACCATAGTTAAACCAATTGAGTGAATCCTTGAACAAATTAGGGATTGTGGGCTTGGAAGAGGGAAGAATAGTCTCTAGCGTAAAATTATCATCATAGGGATCAATACTTTCATTTGTCGAAATGAGAACATATTGAGATATTTGGTTTTCATAAATTTGCTTCACAAATGTTTGTGGCAGAGCAATATCTCCCTAAGGGGTTGTCTGGTAACAAACTTAAGCTGGATTTTACGTTAATCTTGCCGGACAAGAAAATAACAACTTTTAAATCCTTCTACAGATTTATAGAATTAACTAACTTCGTTACTAAACATCTATGGATTAATATTTTTATCAATATTGATGATATAGGAATCCACCAAGTATTTTTGTGGGGGATGAGATCACCTACAGCAAAAAGAACTGAATTTTCCCATTGGGATTCATTTGTTTGGGCAACAAATCCTTGTTGCAGTTCATCAATTCATGAAATCTTGAAACAATTTTAAATAAGATTTTCATAGATATGGCAATGTGAGCTAAAAGATAAGATTTTTTTTTTTAATAAAAAAAAGCATCTTCCTACAAGCATTCTTTATTTATTGAGCCCACCCAAGCAAACATCCTCCAAGTTTTGTGAAATATCTTCAACTCAACTATTGCCTTAGTAATAGATATTCTAGAAAGTGAGACTGTGAAACCCCTTAAGGAGAATGAAGCCGCGCTCTTAAATATCAAGACGCCCATTGATGTAGCGGTGGAATTTTATTAGAAACATCAAAGTAAAACATGCTCGCATGGGAGCACTCCTAGGATGGGAAACCTCTCGAAAAGTTATACTAATGGAGCAAAATCGTGAGACCATCACGCCAAAGAAGGCAATATCTGGATTGGTGAGAGCTCAGGTTGTTGCAAAGGCAATAATTGGATCAATTTTTTTGTGGTCAATCAGAGATTGTTTGACGCTTTAATGTGTTTGAGTTGATTTCAACTGAGTAAAATTTGTGCTAAGGTTAGTCATATATAGCGGTGTAAACGAGGCGAACACGAGCGAGCCCAGGCTCAGCTCGTGTTCGGCTCGTTTATATTTCAAGCTCAAAAAGTGTGTTCCTGTTCGGCTCGTTTGCTTAGCGAGCTGAACACGAGTTTTCGTGTTCAGCTCATTTGCTTAGATAGCCGAAAACGAGTTGTTCAAGAACAAAAAGTTGTTTTAACAACCCTAATCACATAGTCATAAGATATTAAGGGTTGGGGCAACATTTAAAAATTATTCTTTATATTAAAACATCATGTGAATCCAATTTAATAATTATTATTATATTTTTAAATTAATACTTTTAATTGATTATATATCTTTGTAGTCTTGTAGTTAATTAACTATTTTTAAATACAACTCATCAATATATATATATATATATAATTGATGAGTGTTTTTCGAGTCAAATTATTCGTGTTCTGCTCGTTAACTTAGCGGATAAGTCAAACACAAGCTTCTTAATGAGCCGAATACGAGTTGTTCGCAAACAACGAGCCGTTTTGACAGCCCTAGCTATATCCATTTTGGCATTCCTTCCTCTTCTTATTTTAAGTAAGATTATTATCTAGATGAATTGACTTTTATCTTACTTTTTTACCACCAAATATTTTTTTTTAATGCGATGACGTCATCATCCATAAAGTAACATAACGACATATGGGACATTACATGCAACCATTAGGTCTCATAGCCTTGTAACAGTTGTACCCAAATTTTCCAGCCTCATCCGTCGCTTTTACTTTAAAGTCTATCCGACGCAACCGAACATGGTCCCACGTCTCGCGCCTGTAAAATATTTAGCGGTTTAATAACGTCTTCTTTATTCTGTAGGGAATACCCAATCCTGGGAAAAAAGCAGTTGACTGTGTTAGTTAAGAGTTCGGTTAACCTCCGGATGGAGCAAGAAGATGGGATCTCACGTTTGAGTGCCGCGTGTCTGTTCCCACAACCTCTTTCGTCCGTTCTCAACCTCTCCATCTGCATTGAGGAATACTTCACGCCACGCATTCATATGCGAGGCACGTGTGGCGGCGGTGGGCCCGGTCCGCTCAGTATTGAACATTGACAACCGGCCCACTTGATGAGGTAACAATTATTGGCGAGAAACGCTGGTCTCCAACAAAAATTTATATACACATAATAAATCTCATGGATTACTCATATAATATATTTATTTTAAAAACATATTCAATAATCTTTACTCATTTAGATCAAAATGGGATATCTAGTCAGATGTTTTAAATTTAAAATTGCTATTAATTTTTGATAAATTCTACTAGAACATGTTGTGAAAAAAAAAACGACGGCAATAAAGCGAAAAAACAGATATATAAAAATTACACCAGAAAAGAAGACAACAAGATTTACGTGGTTCGGCAAATTGCCTACGTCCACGAAGCTGCAGAGGATTTTATTATCTTTGAGGATTATACCGTTGACCACGTTGACTTACAAGAAAAAATTCTCTCTCTCTCTTCTCATCTTCTATCTCTCTCTAAACCGAGAGGCACACTAAGAAGAAGAAAGACAATTTTAAAGAAAAGCTTCCTTGTGATTCCTTTGTTCCAGTCTCACGACAGAGTATAATCCAAGGAGAGAAGGTTGTTTGGAGAGTAATATCACTTCCCTGTAATCGTGAGCCCCTTTTAAAGCTTCCCAGTATCCAGCTTATTTTGGTAATCCTTAATTTCGTGATTCCATAGAGAAAACATGGAATCATGTTTTAATGACCCATATAAAGCCCATTAAGGCAAGCTATCAAATTCATTGCATTTTTCTCTATAGCAACAGGAGGGGCGGGAGATTAATATGATAAAACTTAATTAATTAATTAAGTTTTCCTTAATTCTTCATGTCAATAGAAGACAACTGCTTTAAATAAAAAAACAAGGAAGCGTCAAGCTATAGCAGGGAACAAAATACATAAGAAAATAAACTTAAATGATTTTCATAAGTGTCGAGGTCGCCAATTTAAGGAAGTAGACCGAGTCTCCACTTTCCTTAACAATTCTCCCACTTGGAGACTGGGACACTGCATCGACCTTATCCTCAAATGTGATATCCTCCATCTCTGCAACTCAAAACCTCTGTCTCCAAGCTAGAAGATCAACTGAAGTCGAGCACAACTTCAGTTTCTCAAGAGTAACACCTTTAGTTGACATATTACCGTAAACGACATATCATACCTCCAAGCTCCTTCTTGGGTTACTCATGATTCTACTTATAACTCTCACTGCATGGGCAATATCCAGCCTCAGCTCAGCTGAAGGCTATTTTCAACAAGTCAAGTCTTGTACATTTTGTTGTTATCAAGCGCAATCTTCTTTTGCTGTTATCAAGCGCAATCTTCACCCGGTGCACCCACTTGTTATGAAATGTCTTCTTCCCTGATGGAAGTTCTGTTAGCTCTTACTTGCTCGAACTTTCATCTTGCAAGATTTCTTCATAGCTCTGTGGTTCTCCACTATCTGTTCGTACATGATCCAATTTTCCTGTCTTTGGCGCTCTGCCACTTTTTAGGAAACTGACTTTCTTCTGCTTCCCCATAATGTTCCTCTGGCTCATGTGTCCACACCTGAGTAAACCTGTAGTTATATATAGTGTGTCAGTTTTCTTACCCTGAGCTAGTACTAATGCTCCTTTAGTCACCTTCCAGGTACTATCTGAGAACACTACTGAATGACCACCCTCATTGAGCTGCCCAACAGAAATGAAGTTTTTCTTCAATTCAGGAACGTGTCTGACTTTTTGCAAAGTTCATTTACTCTAGTTAGGGAGTGCAATATCAACCTCTCCTATCCCCATCACATCTAGAGCTTTTCCATCAGCCAGATATACCTTCCCAAAGTTACCTGCAACATAGTTCGCATTAACTCCCGGTGGAAAAATGTATGGAAGGAAGCACCTGAATCCAGAATTCAGTCATCAATAGAACTGTGAACTGCCAATAATAGCTCATCATATATCTCTTCAGTTACAATATTAGCGTCATCCAATCATCAATAGAACTATGAACTGCCAATAATAGCGCATCATATATCTCTGCAGTTACAATATTAGTGTCATCATTCTCGTTCTTGAGATTCCTGTAGTTTCTTTTTATGTGACCAGCCTTGCCACAATTCCAGCAGGTTGTCTGCTGACCAAACTTTGATTTTGATCTTCCTCTATTTGAGTTCCTATCCCGTGATCTCCCTCTAGAATCAACAATCAGTGCCGAACTCGAACTCGAGGTCTCGCCAGAATCTTTCATGCGCACCTCCTCAGCCAAAATCAAATCACATATATCATTATATTTCAGTTTAGATTTACCTGTAGAACTGTTAATTGCTATCCTCATGGCTTCCTAGCTATTTCGCAATGAAGCCAACATGATCAACGCACGTATCTCATCGTAAAAATCAATTTAAATAATAAAAATTGATTTGTGATAGTATTAAAATCTTTATGGCGTTGTGCAATAGAGACACCTTCCACCATCTTAAAGTTGAATAAATTTTTCATCAAATGCACCTTATTCGTCGATTACTTTTCATACATACCTAAGAAACCACCATGCGATCTGCAGTAGTTCTATTCTTGATGACGTTGTGGGCAATCGATCTCGACAGGGATAATCAAATAAACCCGGCAACGGCAGGTGAAGTTTCTTCCCATAGTGGTAGTCCTCTATCTGCATCCTCCAGTAACTAAAATCTGTGCCTTTGAACTTCTCGATCCCCGATGTCATCACTTCGTCTCCACCCATCGTTTTCTTTCAGCCTCGAACCAAGGCTCTAATACCAGTTTTTGTGAAAAAAAACGGAAAAAAAACGACGGCAATAAAGCGAAAAAACAAATCTAGAAAAATTACACCAGAAAAGGCGACACAAGATTTACGTGGTTCGGTAAATTGCCTACGTCCACGGATCTGCAGAGGATTTTATTAGCTTTGAGGATTACACCGTCGACCACGTTGACTTACAAGAAAGAATTTTCTCTCTCTCTCTCTCCTCACCTTCCCTTTTTCTCTAAACCGAGAGGCACACTAAGAAGAAGAAAGACAACTTTAAAAAAAAGCTTCATTGTGATTCCTTTATTCCAGTCTCACGACAGAGTATAATCCAAGGAGAGAAGACTGTTTGGAGAGTAATACCACTTCCCTGTAATCGTGAGCCCATTTTAAAACTTCCCAGTATCCGACTTATTTTAGTAACCCTTAATTTCGTGATTCCATAGAGAAAACATGGAATCATGCTTTAATGACCCATATAAAGCCCATTAAGGCAAGCTATCAAATTCATTGCCATTTTCTCTATAGCAACAGGAGGGGCGGGAGATTAATATGGTAAAGCTTAATTAATTAATTTAGCTTTTCTTAATTCTTCCTGTCAATATAAGGCAACTGTTTTAAATAAAAAAAACAGAGAAGCATCAACCTATAGCAGGGAACAAAATACATAAGGAAATAAACTTAAAAAATTTTCATAGGTGTCGAGGTCGTCAATTCAAAGAAGTGGACCGAGTCTCCACCTTCCTTAACAGAAGACGGATCTTAATAACTTAAAAAATAATTATTTTTTTTAGTTTTACTTGGGCCAAAAGTCCACTAAACAAAAGCTAAATCACCAATTTTCTTTTCCACCAAATGAAGGAAACAGAGGTCCCACGAACAATTAAATACTTGATGAAACCATCATCTCAAGCATACTTGAACGACTTGAGTTTTCTTCCTTAAGGCCAAAATTTCTCAGCACTCAATTGGTCCACTTCCCTTATTCTCTGATCCCGATCCGAATTCGAAGCCTTTTGGCAACGAAAAATTATTACGTACAAACACCATACATTTGGACAATGGTGAATGAAGGAGGTCATCTCAAATACACTTAAATTTATGGTGATTTAGCATTCCCATCCACACTTGTCATCCAGATGTTCGCACGTAATAATTTTTCCCACGCAGAATCCCAAATATCTAAATAATAATAATAATAAAAAAGAAATAAGGCTAGTTAATCATAGAAGCATCACTAATCAACCTTGCAACCGTTACATAATTTGGTGACCAAACCCTCTTCAGGTGACAGTCTTCTCTCCCTCTCACCTTCCCCAGATACTTAAAATATAAATATTTATATAGTATATAAATGTATATACTTATATGGTTTCCTCCTATCAATATCTCATCACAATAAATTTATATAATCCATTCCAACACTTTCCTAATAAGAACCATGCCATACAACTCACTACTTCTCCTCTTCTTCCTCCCGCTCCTCCTACCCCCTTCCACTGCCTCCATCTCCTCTTCTCCCCGCTGCGGCCTCCCCGACGAAAGGCCATTAAAATCCGTGCGCCGCTTCGCATACTTCCCCGGTCAACCCCGATGGTCTCGCCCTTCCCACCACCTCACTTACGCCCTCTCCCCCACCGACACCATTGGATATATCAACCGCCCTGCTCTCGAGGCGGCCATGCATCGGTCATTCGCTCGATGGGCGAAAGTCATCCCAATGACCTTCTCCCACTCCAAAGACTACAACACGGCCGATGTCAAAATCGCCTTTTACGGTGGCGATCATGGCGACGGGCAACCATTCGACGGCGTTCTCGGCGTGCTCGCCCACGCTTTTTCCCCCGAGAACGGGCGGCTGCACCTTGACGCGGCGGAGCGGTGGTCCGTTGATTTTGGGGAGGAGGATTCGAAGGTGGCGGTTGACTTGGAGTCGGTGCTGACTCACGAGATTGGGCACGTGCTCGGGTTAGCTCACTCGTCGGTGCAGGAGGCAGTCATGTATCCAACCTTAAGCCCGAGGACGAAGAAGGTGAATTTGAGAGTGGATGATATTGAAGGAGTTCAAGCTTTGTATGGTACTAACCCTAACTTTACTTTGAGTTCTCTTTTGGAGGCAGAAACTTCTGCTGGTTTGAGAAGAAGAAGAGCTAATGGTGAATTGGGTGAGCTGATTAGGAGTGACGTCATAAGAATTGGATTTTATTTATTCTTTTTATTTTCTCTTTTTTTGTGAGTTAGAAAGTTTTTTTTATTTTTATTTTTATTTTTTAGTTAATATTTGGGAGATATAAATTAGGAGGTGATAAGATTAAATTGATATACTGTACATGAATTAATTCATGGCATTTGTTATTGGAGGTGATGATCAAGAGATAGCCTTATCATATTTTGTTGTTTTAGCACTATATAAATATTATTTTTCTATTTATTTTTTCATGGTTAGAAAATTTTTAATGCTCTAATTAACTTTATAATAAATTAAAATTAATTTTTTATTGAAAATTATCATCAAGTAAAATCATCTCGAGCAATAAAGTTTTATTGAAAGCTCATTTATCTACTTTCAAAATATTTTAACCACTCTACAATAAAAAAATTTAATTAAATTTAATATAATTAATAAAATAAAAAAGGGTTAAAAAATAATTAAAGTTGATAATTACATTCAAATTTAAAAATGATTCCGCTAAGAAAGTTAGATTATTGAATGGGAAGCAATTATGGCCATAGCTTAAAAGAATTGTGGTGGTCGTCTTTTTCAAGCATTATATTTTAATGTGATGGGGATAGGAACCCACTTCATTATTCAATAATCTAACTTATGCTTAGCCATGATAATATAATTGATCGCTTGTTTAATGGAGTTTATTACATAAATACAATTCATTTTTTTATGCATTTAGATATCTAACATCTAAACTTTAATTTTTTACGTGCATATTTTTTATATGTGCATGAACAATTACATTTAATTTTTTTATGGTGGATATGAAAGGCAGTGGAGGTATAAATATAAAAAGCAAAATTTATGTTAGATATGTAAATAGATAAAAATTTGGCCCTATTTATGTAAATGCCCATGCTAGCGGGCTCCAATAACTTGTATACAAGAAGCCTAAATATTAACTATTTCAAGAGAAAAATATATGTACGTAAGACGCTTGCAGAGCTGACATCGGAGATTATTCACAGGGTATTAGGGGGGTTATATCTGTATTATATCCCGTGTAACATCTCTGTAACCTACCTATAATCTCTAATATCCGCTGAATAGCCTCCAATGCACGCAGTTCTGCAAACATCATACGGACCGCAAATTTCCTCATAATGGATATTATCACAATTAAGGGCCTGTGATTTTCATCATACGGACCGCAAATTTCCTCATATTTCGAATGGATATTATCACAATTAAGGGCCTGTGATTTTCGGGTTTATTTTTTTATTTTTTTTGACCCTTGAAAGCAACGGCAGAGACCTACGAAAGCCTAGCTTCAAAGACACGTGTCAACCTATGGAAGTTCTGTGGACCGTTGGATCGCTAATATATGGTAAAGTGGGACCTACTTGCAGGCCATGCCGGTGGGTCCATGCCCGACTTAGAGCTTCCAGCAAGTTAGGCCGGCCGCTCAATATTTTTTCAAAAATTTGGGAGGGGTCAGAAATGTAAATACAGAGGAATTGATGGAGTGCATGTAAATCTTCCATTTTTTTTTTAATTTATTTTTTATCCGAAAAAGACTAACGACAATTTTCTATTTGAAAAAAAATTTAATTCAAATTTATTCAATTACTTGGAAATAAGATTGATATAAAATTGAATTATTAATTAAATAATGTTTGCATTATTTTGCCGGCTACATTTTGACCATGGACTGCTTCCTAATTTTGTCCTTATAATGCGTGCTACATTCCTAATGTAAAATCTAAGGTTAATTTTGCAATATTTTAATTTTAAATGGTGAAATTATGTTTTAAAAGACATTTGATAAAGAGCATATATATATGAAGAGAATAACCTCAAGAACTTTTCATTAACGGTTTAATTCTTAAAAGTAGTTTCAAACACTTTTATGATAGATAAAGTTCTTCAATATTATTGAAAAAAATTATTTTTTCGATTTATTTAGACATTATTTGGTTAAAAAAAATTAGAAATACGATAAGCCATATGAATTCTAAATGTAGAAAAATCATAAAGCCAACGACCATGAATTTTCCTCCTACGAACACTTACATTTGTTTACTCGTCGTTGGAGAAAATATTATGTTTGAAACACTTGACATTTGGACAATGACTTGGATTGCACCACACTACTATGCACAGTGATGTGATGCAATCAACTTCTTAGTCTGATTATATGTATCACATGTAATATTTTCTCCCATTATTGCAGGGCAAACCCAGGAAGGGTCCAGTGGGGTAATTAAACCCCTTCAAATTCAAATTTTTAGTTAAATGAGAGGGCAATTTAGACTTTTCTCTTCTGAAATATCAGTTTAGCTCATTCTGAAATATCACTTTGCTCTTTTTAGCCCCCAGACCCTCCTGCATTGGGTCTAGGGGCAATTTTCCCCCACTTAAAAAGGGAGGTTGGTTCCACCCCTGCATTATCGCTACCATTGCATGTCCATCATTAAATGTGCTTCTAAATGCATACAATAAAATTACTCTTTATATATTGATAACATGAAAGTGCAAAATATATACATGTAATATACTTTGCATTTTTAATAAACAAATAACCATACCCAATAACCATTGAGACATTTTGGAAGAATAAGATGACTAACATCTTATATATAAGAAAAATATTGGCGTGGGCTTAAAATTTTTGGTTGAAAACTAAGCTATTTCATGGTTAAATGATCTATATCAAGCGGCCCAACTTAAATGGCCTATTGATTGTAAGTTTTCTCTCTATGAAAGAAGTTTTTTTTTGTCTACTCTATGATTTTAAGTAATTACTTTAGCTTAAATCCTTCAACTATCCTTTGTATTTTTGTGGTTTTGCATAAGAAATTAGAGTTTATTTTTTCTTGGATAGTACAACTTTCAAGAAATAGTTTATTATTTTCTTATGAAAATAATGATTAAATAAAATTTGTATTTATGTTTTAAATGATTGTCTTAATTAACATAGTCATCTTGAAATCCACAACACACGTCAAAAACAACTTTTTTTTTATTGAATCTTGATAATAATTTAGTTAGAAATTTAATGATTAGAATGTCATTATCTTCTAATTCCTTCGCATGAATATCATTTTTCATAATTTAATAAATCAACATCCATAAAAGTTCATGAACGAAAATGTATATAAAAAATATGTCTACAATGATCTTAAAGAGATTTAATGCTACAAGAGAGAAGAGTGTGATAAAGGTTGATCTATTGTTAAGAAATGGTGAGGCCCACCTACCAAACAGTGCGTGCGGATAAAAGAAGAGTCTACAAAGAAAATGTCAGGAGTTTTTATATGAAAAACCTGAAAGAGAAAAAATAGAAAGGACCAAGTCAGTTGAAATAGGTCTATTTTACAAATGTAAGTAGCAAAATTTTGTATGCCGTTGAATAATATAAAGCAATATTATATGAGCATGTGTTATCAACTTTACTTTCATCAAAGGAGTGGTATAAAATATTCAGGAAATAGCAGTAACCTAGTTATGGTGATGGAAGTTCAAAGATGGGGTCCATGTGATGGGATCTGATTTAAACGCCACTTGTGGTGGTAGCAGTTAGGCAACAGTGGTTCGGCGATGGCGGTAGCAACGACCAGGTGATGGTGATCCCACAATCATAATTTGGTGTTATGAAAATGTTTCGAAGATGGTGGTCAGTTACGACGATGTCTACCAGATGATGGTAATCCGATGGCACAGGGCAACACAAGCTTCAAGCTTTCTTCAATGGTGTGTACTAAGCTCTTAGTTTTCTTTTCACTTTCCTCTCTTACGTGTTGAAAATGGACTCCTATTAATAGAGTTTGGGCGATAACTTTTTGCAAATTTAGTGAAATCCTCATAACACTCTATCACATATTACATGTTGATTTCTTTGATAAAAAATTATTTTTTTAGCATTTAACTGTCTTAATGACCTTAAATTGTAGGGATCTTGGGCTCCTTGGATTTCAATCGGCGGGACGGTCAATTTTTTTGTATTTATGCTAGGTTTGGATCTCATTTGAACATTCTATTAATGCTTCAAAGTTACTAAGCATACTTCAAGTACTTGTTCAATCATGGGTCATTTAGAATCACCTTTTATTTTCTTATGTATATAACTATTTTCACTCGAGTATATTTTGATTTCACAAAAAATATATTTAATATCTAAAGATGAAATACATTTTGAGTATTTGTAAAAATATATTCATTTTCTTTAAATTAAAAACAAAAATATGATAAAATATGTATACTAAGTAAACATATTTAAAAAAAATAAAAGAAAATAAAAAAATAAAAAAAATACACATATAAAGAAATTTGCATGCTTCATAATTTGATAACTATGATCACATATAAAGAAATTAATATGCTTATCTGCATACATTAGCAGTGCTTTTAATCAGCTTATATGCATAATTAAAATATACTAATCACATTCATCCAAACAATTTAAGTGTTAAGATTAAAATTTCATGGGCCGCGAAGCCGAAGAATGAAATTGGTTCTCAGCCACAAGCTCTTAAATTAACAATTCTGATTAAGATTAATTTTTTATTAAAAATATGATTAAGAAATGTTTAATTTGTAATATTTTTGAAAAATATAAAGCATTTCTTATTTAATTCTTATTTTTATTTTAATATGTGAAATACATATTTAAATAAATTATATAATCAACAGTGTAATGTTCTGCATAATTTGCATACATACCCCTCAGTTCCTATGCATTTACATATCGAACACCTATATATCAATTTTTACATACATACAACCTTCTTATGCATGAAAAGGAGTATTTCACTTCTTAAAAGTTAAAAAGGTTGTACTTTTGATGTGATATGAAAGATTTGAGTGGTATAAATGTAAAAAGCAAAGTATGGGTGTTAGACATGTAAATAAGTAGGCATAAGGTGGTATGCATGCAAATGTCTAAACGATAGTTCCAATATTAAAAATAATTAATTTGTTTTTTAAATTATGAAATCACCAGCAAGCATATTTCATATATATGAAATATGGCTAATTTTAAGAGTAATTAGGCTAACTGAATATTAATTACTCTATATAAATTTTAGCAAAACTGGTTGGTTATTGATTAGTGACAGTTAAGATAACTAGATTTTATAAGATTATAATTATAGCAATTAGGCGTGGGTGGTTATCTCGTTTAATAATA